TTATCACTATCTGCTATAGCATCCTGATTTTACAGTTATAACAGCTTTTAAACAAATGACTGCAGCGGGGCTTTGCAGGCCTCCAGTTTCAGTAGCTGCTGACAGTCCCACCAGAGTGAGAGGATCCTGTGGCAGAAAGCCTTTCCTCTGACGTGGATTTAAAGCTGAAGTTAAGGTGTGGTTTTCCAATTTTTTGCATACACTGGTCCAGCTTGGATGCTTCCAGGTCCCTTGCCGAGCATCAGTCCGGTGAACATCCCCCTGTGTTCTCTATGCAGCAAAGCAGACTGGGAGTTCTGGCAACTCAGCACCATTCATACAATGACAAATCTTTTTGGCATCAATGTACTTCAATGTATGCAAAGCGTTCTCTGACTGGATAAGCCTTGTGGAGAGGCCTAATGATAATGTCACATCCTCCTTCAATCAGAGAATGTTTTGTTTTGTAAACAGAGAATGTATTGAAAGAAAATGCAAGCGGTGTCTGCATAGTGCCCATGCCAAACATTCCAAATGGAACCCCCTGTTCAACTGTAAAGCAGCAGAGGACAGCCCCTCTGAAGTTAAGGTGTGGATTTTTTTTTGCATACAGTGACCTCCAGGTAATCTAGCAGCAATCACTGGCATAGCAGCAAAGTGCCTACTACAGGCTAAATTTCCATTTTCAGAGAATGTTTTGTTTTGTAAACAGAGAATGTATTGAGAAAATGCAAAGCGGTGTCTGCATAGTGCCCATGCCAAACAGGGAACCCCCTGTTCACAAAGCAGGAGGACAGCCCCTCCCAGCAGAAGTGGCAATTTCCATTTTCCATGGGGATCCCACAGGTATACCATATACATACTTACATTGGACCAAAATGTAACTATGCAAAAATATGCATACCTTCCACTTTAAAAGGCCAAATAACACCTTACCCTCCCCTCAATTTCATTAAATGGGTAGAGGTGTTCTGTAGTCCACAAAGAAAGATGGAAACAGTGTGAACTGATAAGAGAGCAGCAGGAAGTTTTAAAGGAGAAGTATAGCCAAATCTCTTTTGGCAGTACTTCTATGGATCACAGTTCCTTCTGAACTCCTGTGATCTGTTTTCAGCCAACAGCAGGCTACAGCCCGTTCTCGGCTGACTTCATAATAATTCAGAAGTACAAGTGACTAGGATTTTTAGAGGAAAATTCCACATCCATCTCATTATAGGTGTCCTTCAAATCTAAAGGGTATGTAAACCACAAACAGAATTTCTCTTGTTTGCTCCCTTTAGGTCTGTTAAACATACCGCATAATTGAAAGCATGTTGTTAAATGTATTCAGTAAGTGAAAAAATACCTGCTGATCCATCCAGAAATCTGGTGAGCTAATAACATCCTGTGCTCTCTGCCTGTACTGCACACTAGTTCTTTTTGTGGACTACAGAACACTGCCCCCCCCCCACCCACCCATGTTATGGAGACGGGGAGGTGTTTTTTTTTAGCTCAAACACATCCTGCGCTAGGGAGACACAATGCTGCTGCTCCTTTGATATTGTGCACTGAGTGAGCATCATTACCCTAAGACAGGATGTGTGTTCCTGGCAGGATCCCCAGGTGAAAATATTTTTTTTTTTAAATAGGGGGGAAAAAAAAAAAAAAAAAAAAAAAAAAAAAAAAAAAAAAAAAAAAAAACCACAGCCACCATACCTAAGGACTTTAGAGCACATGCACACACAGAAGCAAACCCAGCAACCATGTACCAGTAAATTGTTTCTGTGCCTCTTTTATGCCTAAATTGAACCTTTAAAATAGAACTAAAGGCTACCCTGTTGCTGCTGTGACATCATCTGCCCGCCTCTCCACCTCAGCCAATCAGATAAAGCCTTGTACTCATTCAGAAAATACAAAGCTGTGAATGGCTGAGCGGCGCGCAGCCCCTGAACAATTTCGTACCGGAGCAGGACATGAAGTCCCTGTTCTGCTGCCAGAACACAGCACTGTATACTATATGCAGTTCATACAGTACTGACAGCAGACGCATCTGTCAGTGAAGATCATAGTTTGTTTGGACCAGCTTGATCCAAACAAACTATTTTAAAGTGACAGAAAGCTGGAATTAGGCTTTAGACGGCATTCACGTACAATTCACCGCAACACACGATTCACCGCAACACACATGATTCACCGCTCCAGCAGCTCTGCGTTGCCAGTTGCGTTAGGGTGAAGAGTGGTGCACAATTCAGCGCATCACACAGCTTCCTGTCTTTATTTTTTTTTTAGTGTTTAGAATGTGCTGTGCTACCTTACATTGTAGTGTGATTTGGCAGGGTGATCTGTGATAAAATGCAGCATGTCTGCATTTAAGCGCAATGTTAGCCTGCACTGCAGTGGGAATAAAACAATTTCCTATGTATCCCTGTGGTGGCAGACATTTTACCATGCAGTAAAACTGCATATAGCGCAAATTCACCCTTAGCCCTGATTCACATATATGCGGCCATGCAGGCTGTGTTTTGCGTGGGCACGAGAGCCCATTCATTTGAACGGACTCCGTGTCACGCAGGGAAGAAGTCTTCTTCTGAAAACGCAACCTGCACAGGAACCTTGGTTCCCAGTACGGTTGCGTTTTCCAGTGCCGGCGGTGTGTCATTAGAACTGATGGCACCCCGCCCGTGGGTCCGCAGTCCTCTGTGCAGGTGGTGCGGCTGCACGGATTTTTGTGCGGATCCACAGCGGCACCTCCCGCACATATGTGAACCAAGCCTTAAATCTGAACTCCAGGTATACAGTTGTGTCCAAAATTATTCAACCCCCAATGCTGTAAAGGGGTTTAGGGACTATAGTGTACATTTGGAATTGTATTCAGAATCAAATCCTACAAGGACGTTGTAACTACCCAAATGCAACTAAAATGACATCAATTGTTTATGTAATACAGTAGTAAATGGTTCTTATGTGGTTTCTTCATTGCCACAATTATTCAACCCCTTAAAGACTACCACTCTGAAGAACAGAGGTTCATACAGGTGCTTTCCATCAGGTATTGAAAACACCTGTGGATGTCACCGAGCAGCAATCAAGCATAATAAGCACCAATTAGGCAGCTTTAAAAATGACTGTGATACTCAGCTCCTTCTAGACATTTACTGGTGTGGTTACAAACATGGTGAAGGCAAGAGAATGGTCCAGGAAGACAAGAGAAGAGGTGATTTCTCTTCACAGGAAGGGCAATGGCTATAAGAAGATTGCAAAGATGTTAAACATACCAAGAGACACCTTAGGAAGCATCATTCGCAAATTCAAGGCAAAGGGCACTGTTGAAACGCTACCTGGTCGTGGCAGAAAGAAGATGCTGACTTCGACTGCTGTGCGCTACCTGAAGCGTAGAGTGAGAGAAGTCCCCGTGTGACTGCTGAGGAACTGAGAAAAGATTTGTCAGATGTGGGTACAGAAGTTTCAGCCCAGACAATAAGACGCACACTGCGTAATGAAGGCCTCCGTGCCAGAACTCCCAGGCGTACCCCCTTGCTGTCTCCAAAGAATAAGAAGAGTCGACTGCAGTATGCCAAAAGCCATGTGGACAAACCACAAAAGTTGTGGGATAGTGTTCTGTGGACTGATGAAACAAATTAGAACTGTTTGGGCCCATGGATCAACGCTATGTTTGGAGGAGGAAGAACAAGGCCTATGATGAAAAGAACACCTTGCCTACTGTGAAGCATGGTGGAGGGTCAATCATGCTTTGGGGCTGTTTTGCTTCTGCAGGTACAGGGAAGCTTCAGCGTGTGCAAGGTACCATGAATTCTCTTCAGTACCAGGAGATATTGGATGGAAACGTGATGCAGTCCGTCACACACTGAGGCTTGGGAGACGTTGGACCTTTCAACAGGACAATGATCCCAAGCATACCTCCAAGTCCACTAGAGCATGGTTGCAGAGGAAAGGCTGGAACATTTTGGAGTGGCCATCGCAGTCACCAGACTTAAATCCGATTGAGAACCTCTGGTGGGACTTAAAGAAAGCAGTTGCAGTGCGCAAGCCTAAGAATGTGACTGAACTGGAGGCCTTTGCCCATGAAGAATGGGCGAAGATACCCGTAGATCGCTGCAAGACACTTGTGTCAAGCTATGCTTCACGTTTAAAAGCTGTTATAACTGTAAAAGGATGCTGTACTAAGTACTAAGATTGAATGTCACTTGGGGGTTGAATAAAACTGATAATGCTGTGAGCACAGAAAAGACATTTGTGGTTATTTCATTATAACTGTTATGTTATATTTGTCTGACCTACAAGTGCCTCTTTAATGTAAATGTAAGCAAGATGACTGAATGATCAAAAGCAATGTCAAACTGGCCAAAACACTCAATTTCAGTGGGGTTGAATAATTTTGGACACAACTGTAGATTTATTGCCTAGGACCCAGAAGACAGTGGTGGTCACTGTAGTGACGGGTGACTACTACAGTGATTCTCCGCTTCCGCAGCAGATCCACAGGTTCAGCATAGGCATACTTACAGTGATCCCAGCTGGACCAATGCAACAATACAATTTTAGCCATAAATGGAATCCGCTTTTAACACTGTTAATGTGTTTTAGAGGAGACATACATTTCTGAAAGAGTATTTGCATTTAATAATAAAGTGATAGTCAATGTACCCAAAATGCAGCATGTAGGACAGACTTTTCACATGCATAGCACACAATGCCCTGTGACACATGCATGCTAGCCTGCATGCCAAGATTCATGATGATTCTGGGATGAACGAGCCATTCCTTTTTCCCTGCACACTGCTGAGTAAGGCCCCATGTACACGGGACGTTTCTGAACGATGGAAACTGACTGCTGGAAAAAGTAGGATAAAAAACATCTGTTTAGCATAATGCGTTTATGTGCGTTTAGAAGTGTTTTTTCAAAAATAAGCACAGGAGAACCTCCCAAATGCCCAGAATACACTGAAAAGTGGTAAATTATTAACTATTTCAGACAGTTTCAGAGAAACACAGAGAGTAGAAGCAGAGACAGTAGTATGTGTTGAGATAATTAGGTGTGAGTTGCTCATTAACATTTCTTTTGTATCCAAGGGTGGGAAGGTGTCTGCTGGAATGAGAGATGAAGGTCACAGAGGTCTGAGGTGTGACTTGGTCATTACAATGTGTGACAAGCTTGGTAGGAACATCCTGCATTCAGTGTTTTGTCCATCTGAGCACCTTGAAAACTTTGCATGCATTTTTCATGATGAAAAAAGGCTCTGGACAGCATTGGGAACTGGAAGAGTTAAAAAAAATTTCAGATGCTTATAAATGCAATTTGATGCGTTTACAAGCGTTTTGTGTTTGAAACGCTGATAAAATCGACGTCTGAACGCAAGTTTGTTGTATTCAAAAAAACAACTGTAAACTCAACTGCCTGTAAACGAAGATGTGTACATGGACACAGGAAAACATTAGGGAGAGTTCAGGGACGGCTGAAAAAACCGCTGAACAGTTCCTAAACGTGAGTTTATCAGTTGCAGTGTACATGAGCCCTAACTGGGAAAGGAAAAATCTGCTGGTTTGTGTGGCTTCAATGTAAGTGTGAGACTCTACAGCAGAAGGCTGCATCAAGCGGAGAGCTCTACATACTACAGAATTATTCAAAACAGAGTCACATAATGAATGTAGCATTTCATTATACAGTGAATCTGGACACACTGACTCACAAGTGAAATGTTACTTCGTCTAATCTAATGCATGTCAGCGCAGGCTTTCAAAATTGTTTAACAGAACTTTATTGACAATGGTCTTCATATACAAGTGTCCAGACAGTGCCTGGACCAGAACTTTCCGTTCACCAGTTATCCTTAAGGTGGACCTAGTATCAGGCAAATTTTTGAATATTAAAGTCAAACTCCAGGATAAGTAAATATTGTCTAAGCCTAGATTCACATTCTTCCGGTTTCCAATGGTCGCGTTTGCAAGGGAACCGCAGACCATTAATTTCTAGCCCATTAAAAATAATGGGCTGCTGTACCTATGCAAAACACAGGGAAAAGGTCCCTGCACCTTTTCCAAAAATGCAGACGCAGGGAAACTGCAGAGTGTTGTGTAGTTCCCGTATTAAGCCCTTTGCACCGGCATTTCCCGGCCCTTTAAGAGGTTTCAGAAGCCAGGAGGCGGGGCAGGGTTTTAGGGTCATGTGACCGCCGTGATTCGCTGTAACATGATCAGAAAAGGGGAGATCGGGACCGTTCTGTGAGTCACGGACATATGTACTGGGAGAGCGCAGGGCGCACGCTCTCAGCATATATGTATTTTCAAATTGTACGCAAATATGCGGCTGCTCAGCATCAAGGCCCAGACACCGAGAGGCCACATATTTGTGTGCACTTGGCGTGTAGGGGTTAATGGCACCCAACTCATCTGCTCGCTGTGGGAAAGCATGTGATTTACATGCCTTCCTGCACCCACTCAGATGGGAACCTAGGGGTTGATGTACTAAAACTGGAGAGTGCAAAATCTACAGTAGTGCAGCTCTGCATAGAAGCCAATGAGCCTCCAGTGTTTTGGAGGTTTTTGACAAAGCTTAATTCAACACGCTGAAGTTAGAAGCTGACTGGCGACCATGCACAGACAACTGCACCAGATTTTGCACTCTCCAGGTTTAGTAAATCAACCCCCTAGCTTAACCCCTTGACGCCAACATGACACAAATATGCGGCCTCACGGAACTGGGCTTTTTTCCGTGGGGCTGCATATTTGCATACCTGTTTTTGTGCTGGGAGCACGCCACTCGGCGCGTTTCCAGCACAGAGACCACGGTGTCACTGAGAGCCCAGGGTCCCGTTCTAACGATTGGGACCTGGGACTCCCGATTCCAGGTCACATGATCGCTGTGATAGCCATTTCAGTCACTGTACAGCCTTGCTTTTTTCTCTATGAATGGAGAAGAGAGATACATTGTATCTCTCTAACTCCTGGCTTAGAGAGAAAAAAAATGTTTGTATAAAAAAAAATAAATAAATAAAAAAAAAAGGGGAAGATAAATATTAAAACATAAAAGAAAAAATAAACAAAAATTCCTAGATCAAGGTTTGATCTAGTTCAGTGCCAGGGTTAGTGTTTGGGTCAAGGTCAGGGTTAAAGGTCAGGATTTTAAAAAAACATTAGTGTCAGTTTGTATTAATGTCAGTGTGTTTTAGGTAAAAAAAAAAAAAAAAAAGACAAAAAAAATGCGCACTATTGTTTCTGGGCTGTACTATGGGTACAAACAACAAATAACATACACATATATTGTATCGCTGCGATTGTCAAGAGCTGGAGAATTTATTTTGGGTTGTTCTATGGTGGTAGGTTATTGTCGTTACAAGAAACACACAGCTAAATAAATTTACCACCAAATGAAAGCCCAATTTCTCTTAAAAAAATCAAGGTATAATTCACCTGGATGTACAAAGTAGTTGTGATGATATGTACAGTTTTACTATCACATGTCAACGTCGCAGAATTGTGCTTTGGCATTTAGATTTGTTTTACCCTTAGGCGTGAAGGGGTTAATAACAATAGGCATTTCTTCCTGATCTCACAGGAGGCGGTCAGGTATTCTCTGGGTCAACTATACCTGTGGCTGTTACCTATTAATGTTAAAGTGGAACTGCACTGTATCTGAGCGCTAAAAAACAAATTTAATTCATGTTTAATATTCAAAGCAAACTCACCAATCTATCCATGGTTTATTTTTCTGATAAAAACACCTACTAGCATTTCTGGCCATGGCCATCTTGCGTAAGAGCAGATGATTCATATAGCACTTACTTCCTGGAATCCATCTACCCTTAGCTCAGACATGCAGGTAGGAGGATGGGTTTAGCTGGGAAAATCCTTTCTCCCCTCCTGAAGACTCCTGGGATGTATGACATCATTTTGTCACTGCTACTGCTACAAGGTAACAACTGGGTTGGAAAAGGAATTTTGGTGAACGCAAAGTGGATTTATTTTCTTTGTGGCTACAGGAGAACTTCACTCAGTTATTAAAAAAATCAAAAAGTCTGCAGCTAAAAATGCTGTAACTGCTGACTTTTAACAAACAGGTACTTACCAGTCCACAGATTCCAGCACTGTCTTCCCTGCAACTATTTCTTTGCTGGGCTTCAGATCCCCAGCACAGCCATCTTGGATGGCTCCCCACTGCACATGCACGAGGCATGGTCCTGCCACCTCATGGGAAGTGGCAATCAGCTCTCTGCTCTGACCCTCCAGCATTCATTGGAGTGCCGGCTGTGTAGGGGGTGGGAGCAACTGGTTCAGCCTCCCAGCGGATAACTGAGAGGATGAGCCAGCTGTCGGCCTGGCATCTGGGTACATACCAACTTTAAAGTTGGGATCTTTACTAAGCCTGGACTGGCTGAGTGACATCAGAAACACTGGAGTGCTGAACAGAGTGAACTCCTGTGATCCATAGGAGAAGCATGGCCAAAAGAGCTTTGGTCCTACTTCTCCCCTAAAGTTTATTTCCACTTTTGTGGTCAAATTTGAGAAAATATTTCCTACCCTTTTGATGCTTCCTAAGAGAAGGTGTCATGGTGGTTAACTGCAAGTATCTGAACAAGTTCAGAGTGAGTTTGTCCCAACAGGAAAGTTACGGACAGGTTTAGTTTCCTCTCATTAACATATCATGGAGAAGTCCACCTTCTAAATCTTTAACCCTTTGTTATTTATTTATTACAGGTACTTATATAGTGCCATCAATTTTACACAGCACTTTACATACATATTGTACATTCACATCAGTTCCTAACCCTCAAGGGGCGTACAATCCAAGGTCCCTAACTCACATTCATACATACACATACTAGGGCCAATTTAGACAGGATCCAATTAACCTACCAGCATGTCTTTGGAGTCTGGGAGGAAACCGGAGTATTGGGAGGAAACCGGAGTATCGGGAGGAAACCGGAGTATCGGGAGGAAACCCATGCAGGCAGGTGGTGCCGTGGTTGGGATTCGAACCAATGACCCTAGTACTGCCAGGCAGAAGTGCTAACCATTTAGCCACTGTTCTGCCCTATGTTATAGTGTTCAACTCTAGTATACAACTGATAATGGTATGCTAGCTAGCACAGCACAGCCAAGGTTAGGTATGGCACACACAGTTCCCTGACACCGTCAAAAAAGAGAACTAAGCAGGATTTTTCAATGCTAGAGTTATAAGAAAAGGGCATCTAAAAGGGTAAGCAGAACATTTAATCATAAAGTAGGTGATATCCTAAATTTGGCAGCAAAAGTGGAAATACACTGGAAGAAAATCAGCAGTGGCAGCCTACACGGCTCTACCAGTACAGATTTTCTTTTGCAGGCTCCTTCAGACCTCCCGTGACACCTGACACAAAAGAAAACCACAGACATGCTGTAACACAGCCCCAATGCTGACACAAGACCTAACTTAATCAATTCCGGAACCAAACTGCAGCAGGGCAATTTCAGATGTTCTAAAAATTCTGTACAACACTGCACTTTGTTGGCATTACCTCGAGATCAATGCACCACTGAAAGCTAATGGCTTCATGTAAAATGCCAAATAGTCTACAGGCCCGTTAAAGCCCGTTAAAGAGTCAACTGAGGTGAGCAGATCTCATATATACGTTCTACTTAATGGAGCCTTATGAATGAATGGTCAGCATCTCCCCAATGTAAAACAAGGCCTTCAAAAAATGGACACTTTCACTTATTGATCTGTATAGAAAGATTTGTTCGGCTGCAACATTATAGTCCTGTAATGACCCAAGCAGCTCAATAAACACAGAAATGCATACTTGTCAGCTGTTTCCCCCCCTTTGATGGTACAGTTGCCAAAAGGTCAGGATTTGTCATCAGAAATGTCCAAGCTTGTCAAATCTTCAAGCAGATATCCAAAGACACCATTAAAGTAGAAGTATAGCCAAAGCTTTTTTGACTATACCTCTATGGATTACAGGAGTGCAGATCATTCTGAACTCTTGTGACCAGTTTTCAGCCGACAGTGAGCTAAAGTCTGTTGTCGGCTGACGTTACTCAGCCAATCCAGGCTGTGAAAACATCCCAACCATACGGTTAGAATCCACCCTGAAGCCTGGACCGGCACCTAGCTCAGCCCCTTAGCCATCCACCAGCAGCTCCTTCTTCCTCCACCTGGAGGAGCAGAGCAGAGAGCCAGAGACTGACAGTCACAGAGTGGGAGAATTGAGTGATCAGTGCTGTTTGATCAGTCAGTTCTCACTGTAGAGCTAGCAGGGAAACACATGCAGCATCAGATCAATGCTGCATCCACCTAGGTGAGTATAATTGGTTTTTTTTTTTTTCTCAGAAAGCCTGGCAAGAAAGGCTAGGTTCACACTTGTGCAGCCTGTGTTCTGAGTAGGCAGGCA